CAAAACGGTCCTTGTGTTACTACTGCCCCTGCTATTCCCCTGCAGCACCAACGCCATCTGCAGCAGCAGCAGCAGCAGCAGCAGCACTTCTCCCCACAGATGTACTTGGGTATGCCTGTACCTCATGACGCTACTAAGAGAGCAACAGCAACTGCTGCTGCTGCTGCTGCTGTGCATAACAGCAGCGTATGCTCCCCAGTGCAGCACCAGCTGTCTGAGATGCTGCAGCAGCAGCAGCAGCAACTGCAGCAGCAGCTGGCGAACAGTTGCTGCGCGGGGAGTTTCTGTGGGGATAAGTGCCGCTGTGTTGCTGCAGCAGCAGCAGCAGCAGATAGCGACGCCCCTGCAGCACCAAGCAGCAGCAGCAGCATGGGTCTACGTCAGCAAACAAGCAGCAGCACTGCAGCAACAGCAGCAGATGTTGCTTCGTTGCTGAATTGGCCATCTTCTGCTACTAGCTGCAGCGCCAACAACAGCAACACTAACAGCAGCAGCAGCAGCAGCAGCAGCAGCACCGACAGCAGCTGCTGCGCATCGGGGTGGGCAGCACCAGGCAGCCGCAACAGCACAAGGTCTTCCTTTGGTGGTGATGCTGCCTTTGGTGGTAGCGAGCCTTACCCTCAGCAGCAGCAGCAGCAGCAGAAGCAACAGCAGCAGCATCAACAACAGCAGCAGTTGCTGCTGCTGCAGCAGCAACTGCAGAAGCAGCAGCAGCTCGCGCTGCTTCATAGAGTTATGCAGCAGCAAATGGCAAGACAGCAGCAGCTAATTGAGCAGCAAAGGATGCGATTTAGTAAGCAGCAGCTGCAGGCAACCTCAGCAGCAGCAGCACAGCAGCAGCAGCAGCAGCAACAACAGCTATTACTGCAGCAGCAACTGCAACAACGACTACAGCAGCAGAGGATGCAGCAGCAGCAGCGCATGCAGCAGCAAGGTACACGACTGCGCTCTGCTCCTGACTACACAGAAACAGTAGCAGATCCAAATGCAGCAGCAGCAGCTGCTGCTGCTGTTGCTGCAGCAGCAGCAAACAGTCGGTGGGTGCTGCCAGGGACTCAGCAGCAGCAGAAGCAGCAGCAGCAGCAACAGCAGCAACGCTATGCATCTTAATGCCATTAATGCTAATAATCAGCAGCAGTTGCTGCTACCGCTGCAGCAGCAGCAGCACAACGACTCCCTATTTAGGATTTAATTGCTGCTGCTACTGCAGCAGCAGCAGCAGCGGCTGCTGCTGTTGCTGCAACATTAACAGAAGCAGCAGCAGCAGCAGCACCAACAGCAGTTGCAACACTGACAGCAGCAGCAGCAGTAGCTGCAACAGTAACAGCAGCAGCAGCAGTAGCAGTAACAATGACACCAGCAGCAGCAGCAGCAGCAGTTGCTGCTGTCGCTGCTGCTGCTGCTGCTGCTGCTGCTGCTGCTGCTGCTGCTGCAGTGTATGTGTTGACCGCAGGTATAGAGGGAGAGTTTTGCTGCTTTGTTTGTTTGTATATTTATAATTAATAATATTATTATTAATAATATTATTTATTTATTTATATATATTATTTATGCGGTTATTTTATTTATTTATTTATTTGTTTATTTATTTATTTATTTATTTATTTATTTATTTTGTTTATTTATTGGCAGTAATATTTATTAACAAACAAAACGCAAAAAAGAATTCATTTAAATCAATAAATACTAATAAACAAGAGCAGCAGCAGCAGCAGCAGCAGCAGCAGATAGCAGCAGCAGCAGCAGATAGCAGCAGCAGCAGCAGAGAGCAGCAGCAGCAGCAGATCCATTTGCTGCCTACGAGTGTATATGCAGCTACTCATATCCAGCGCATACCCTGTAGCTAGCTAACTAGATCTACATAGCTATCTAGCTAGCTAGCTAGCTAGCCATCTAGCTAGCTAGCTAGCTACCTAGCTAGCTAGCTAGCTAGCTAAATAGACATATGGATGTATAAATAGATAGATAAATATATTATTAAATAAATTGTTAAATAAATAGCTACATAAGTAGCTACCTATCCAGCTAGCTAGCTAGCTAGCTAGCTAGCTAGCTGGCTAGCTAAATACCTAGCTAGCTGGCTAGCTAGCTAGTTATACAGCTAGCTAGCTAGCTAGCTAAATAATTATTTAGCTAGCTAATTAGGCTGTAATAAATCGGCGTAAAACAAGTCAGCAGCAAACTGGTCGGCCATACACAGCAGCAGCAGCAGCTGCTGCTGCTGCTCCTGCTCCTGCTGCTGCCGTTGTTGTTGCTGCTGCTGCTATATAGCAGAGGGAAAAGCCCCAAAAATTTTTTATTGCATGCATGCATATATTTTCTATAGATAGAAGCAGCAGCTGCTGCTGCTATTTCTATCTACAGTTTTCCCCTCCCTTCTTGCTGCTGCTGCTGCTGCTGCTGCTGCTGCAGGTTGTGCTGCTGCAGGAGAATAACAGCAACAGTAGTATCATCATAGAATCTTCTTCTTTGTTTAGGGGGAGCAGCAAGAGCAGCAGCA